GCATCGCAGTGCTTAAAAAGAATAATTCTGAAACCCTACAAGCTTGTTTAAAAGTGGGAAATACACTTCTAGCCTCTATCTACCAGGAATGGGGAATGAGACTGGAGAACAGACAGGTATGATAACAGTACTTTAAAATGGTGTCTTTCATTAGTTTGTCAAGTCAAATTTTGGAAGATTTTCCCGTCTTTCATTAAAAACAGAAAATAACATTAAAAAGGAGTATGTTTTCACAGGAATGGCTATTCCAGATTTTACACTGGAAGGCCTAATTCACTTGTGACTATACCTTGTGTATTTGGTGGTATGTGTGGTGATGGCTTTCACTGGCAACATGGTGATAAAATAATAATTGTCTTGCCCATAATAAGATTCCACACTGAAACAATGATCCCAAATTAATTATGTCCCTGAAAAATCATTGTTTTTTACAGTGAACACAGCGTTCTCCAAACAACATCCTAATGCTACAAAGTCTCTTAATTGTCATGCTCTGGGCATAACCATCAAGGTTACAGCTGCTCTCTTGTAAATATCTGAAAATTTATTTCCAATCCTATCAGGTTCTCTTCAGAAAACAAAAAGACTTTGGTCTTTTATCATTATTTTTTAATATTTTCAATTTCATTATATCTAGCCTTAATATGATTATATCATGCCCTTTAGTATAATGTAGATTCATCTAAATAGGCATAATTTTTGGTGACTTTTATTCCAGTTATATAATCTGAGACCACTCAGATTTGGCTAATTAGCCAAAATAAGCAGAATAAATAAATAAGGGTGTAAGCTTACCTGATTGCTAGCTTGAGTAACAAAATTTGAATATGAACCTTTTGAATACTTTCCTTCTTGCTTAAGCATTTTAAGCAGTCACCTTCCTTATATGTTCCCACATTTACTTCAACTTATAGTAGTATATTAAAAATCACAATCTATTATAGAAAGCTGTACTATTATAGTTGACAGTCAAATTAGCTTTAAAAGGGTACCAGCTTTAGCTAATTGTTAACTGACTTCTAAATTTGAGCTTTTAATTCAAATGTAGGTACCTATACAGGCAGCTGGTTTTTAAAATAACAATGAACATTCAGCTGCATTTGTTGAACTCAACACAAAAATGTATGTTGTAAGATTTCTGCCAGTCTTAGCCACAGACTAACTAGTCAGGTACACAAAAATCATGCACAAAAGCAAACTCCACACACATAACGACCTTGGTAAAAACCATTTAGGATCTAATTCTAGTGTCGTAAGTCAAGCCAAGCAGTATATCCAATTCACTTAGATAGAACCCTGAAGAAATTTTTCGTGTCTTATTTAAGGCACACAATTGTTAAAATACATGGAGCTCACAGGTAAATTGCAATTAATTTAGGTTCTGAGGGACTGAACTTCCAAAATCTGACATTAATAAAGGTTCGCTTTAATTGGATTGCTTTGTGCTAACTCTTTATATGCAATGCATTTTTCTTAAGGAAATCTAAGGGTCTAAATCACTGACATCCTAAAGCAGAAGTTTCACTTTCACCATTGCAATAAATTCAATGCTTGTTAGTGCAACATCTGTAGCACTGACACCCTGAAGACATGTCTTCTTTGTGCTCAGTTTAAAGCATCACATCCATCTTGCAGGTTACCATCTAACAAAGATTCTTCACTGCAAATTGAAATGGTACCAAGGTACCAAAACTACTTGAGATGAAAGAAACAGTGCAGCCGTGGCAGCATACAGCCTGATGCTGCCTGATTTTATGCTGCTTCTTTATCCTGCTTCTTTGTGCAGAAAAAAAGTGACATGTGGGCCTAGAAGATCACACTGAGATGAGTTTGGGGCTACTTTCACAAGGAAGACTATATCTGATGCAAAAGTATGACAAAATTTTATCCAGTGTGCTGCCCTGATACATCTCACAAACATTTTATGATACACGCAGCTTGAAATAATAGTAACATACTGGAACAGACTCTACTGCTGTACTCACATTGAGTACTTTATTATACTTGCTCTACAAATAGTTCCAAGAATCTGGCTCCGTGTGTTGCCATAAGCCCATACTGCATGATGTTTCTACATAAATGTATGTAATTGCCTTATGCTGTGCTGTGAGTCACTTCCACATTAAGTATTCTTTGAGATGCCTGTGGTGACAATGACATGGCTTTTCTGATGCATAAAAAGAAAATTTTGCAACTTGAAAGCACTTTCAGAGTCTAATTTTTTGATGGTGTGAAAGAATTAGGCTGTCGTGGTGTTTTATGAAAACTTAATCTGCAAGTAAGTGGATATCTCGGAAGAAACCAATAAGCTCAGAGCTTTGCTACACTAATAGTCTAATACTACAACCCTTACTTCAGCTGAGATGTTCTTGTAATGGTCTGATATGCCACACAGCGTACATTTATAATTTTGTAATTTAAAGAAAAAAAACCCCAAACTCTTAGATGTATAGTCCTGCTAAATCACAGTGATTAAAGCATGGTGTTATCATACTACAGAGCTTGGTCAGCTCCATAAAACACTCCATATAAAATTTGTTCTCTGTGGGATAAAGTAAAACAAACAAAAAACCCAACAACACATTTCATACACAGCTATTAAATGCTTTTTGAAATGTTTGATCTCAGAGGAAATTCTGGTTTGAAAAGCAACCATCTATTCATTAACGAAAACCATTACAGTGTAAAAATTGGGCAATTAATTAATTAAGTATATAATGAGATGGTAAATCATACAGCATAGTATGTTCTCTGCACAAAATGTCACACCCTCACCTCATATTGAAGTCATATCCCTTGCTATATTAGAACTGATTTGCCCTTCAAAAGCAAACTGGGAACCTTGCTGAAAACAAAGCAAAACAACACTTCATTTTGTTTTGTCAATGCTCATCATAGGCTTTCCTGTAAATGCCTGCATTTCAACCTTCTAATTTGCCTGAGTTGTTACAGCAGGTTGACCAAAATATCATTTACTAATCTTCTAAATCCATCCTCTTTGCTCTACTTCATGTGATAGAAATGAAGCTCAAATGCTCAGCCCAGAGAACAATAAAATGCCTTTCAATTAATAAATTTGGATTTGTACAAGTTAACATCACAGATTCTGCAGGAATTGTTAGAGCTGCTTCATCATGTAAAAATGTATGCATTTTAGGAAATAAAACATTATTGATTGATACTCTTCCATTTTCAGGAATTCAAACTTCAAGAGAGTTTCAGAAAGCTATTACATTTGTCGACAAAAGAAACGTAATGAAATAATTATTGACCTGAAACAGTCTTAAAAGAAATTTTATCTTTTGGGTATTTTTCTGGGTCACAATTTATAAATAAATTTGAGGAAAAAATTACTATTTCCACTGAAAATGAATAAAATGCAAGAAAAGTTTTCTTTGTTCTCCTCATTCTCTGTTTTATACACAAAATCTTGACATGGTGAATTACAATCTAAAGACAGTATTGTCAAAAGTCTAGTTGTCCAACCAATGACAATTGTGAGCTATCTCATTATAAAAAACTTACAGTCACATCTTGAAACTGGAGGCGCATAGCAGAGCCTGATGGTTGTGGTCGGCTGGTGATCTCTAGTATGGTCCTTAACAGAATATCGAGCAGGCTATTTACAATTACATCAATTTCTTCCAGGACAGATTTTTCCTTAAATAAGAAATAAAGCATTTAAGATTTTAAAATAGAAAGATGACCACAGGCATATTTCCTTTGATATTATTTTAGAAACTAATGATAGTTTTACTACAAATGTTACATTCAAGAAACAAGGACTGTTCTCTAATTAAGATATTGTTTAATTCTATTGATTTTTTTCTAACAGTTTTCAATTAATTACATTGCATTGAAATATAGAGGACAGTTACGGGGATGTAAGAATTCATCAAATTAGCATAGCTCTATTTTCAATTAATGTTTAGAAGAAAGCAGTAAATAATATACGAGAATTTTTCGGGCAAGATTTTTATAAGTAACGCCCATATATTTTTGGGGGAAATTGCCAAGAGAGGCTTAAATTCCAAAAAGTAGAATTCTGTTTTCACACTTTGAAACTATCACCAGAAACAAACAGATGGTGCTCAACCTTCAAGACCTGCTTCAGCAGTAACGACCAGCTACATTGCTTCCCATCAACTGAGTAGCACAAACAAATTAGTCATTTATGTAAGCCTACAACTGCTTGTATGCAACATTAACACAAAGGAACCAAAGTGTTTACTGCCAAAAGAGACCATGAATACCTTAATTACATGCATGAAAACACTTGATGAAGTCAAGTTGTAGTTACTTTTCCTTTTTAATTCAGATGGAAATATGTTTTCCCTGCTTCAACAATGTTTTCTGTCTCCACTGCAGCAGACACCACCATCTTAATCTGAGCGATTTTATCCACAATTTGAGATGACATTTCTTCACAGAAAGAAACACTTTATAATCAAATGCACACAACCAAACTAAAACTCAGCTAACAAACAGATCATTCAACTTTGCTGACATCGAGGTGTAGGAGTGATTTTTTTTTTTTTTCTTCCTACACACCCACAGCATATGATTTGTAACGAAACTCAAAATTCCTGTTTGGATTCAAGACGAGTCTAGTGTCATGGCCGTGTTCTCTGTCACTTCGTCTAGTATCAAACAACTTTAACTTTGCTTCTTACGAAGGCAGAGAGTATACAGTGTATTTAGGAACTATACCAACTGTGAGGACTCATGTACAAACTACTATTAGAATGGCCAACAACCTTAATTTTCAAAGCTGCCTGACTGCAAATTCACTTGTTCCCTCAACCTCTAGATTATCTTGATTACCATGGAAGGAACAAAGTTCTGAACTGATCCACAAAAATCATACAAAAGTCACCAAGTTGTTAATATTCTCAATGACTCAAAGACTACTAAAAATAGTAGCTGCATATCCTGAACATTGGAGAGAATTTTATGTAGACATCCGCTTGTTATTGTGTACATCTCTGGCTTGATGTCTCCAAATGAAAAATCTCCTGAAATTAAGACCAGATATGTAAGCCTTTCTCCCAGTCCAAAACCACAGCTACGCTTTATCATCTATCACTTTATCTTGTGATGAGGTATTATACTAATCCAGGAGCAGCTGCAATAAAAATGTTGTTACAGTGCCAAAATTGCAAGCCACATCCATAGCAAATCACTGATGGAGCAACTTTAATTGCTGACAGTGGTATGAAATGAAGAAACACATAAAACAGTTCTCAGGAATGCATTACAACGTAATGCATGCTGGCCTTGATATGTATGTACTGCAGTAACTACAGGCAATGTTTGTTTTTAATTGTATTATATTCCTTTGCCTGTCAGAACTCATCATCATCTTCATATTTGCAATACACCTGTCTAAGCTAGTTCTCATATGCAGCTTTGACAGATGAATTTGCAAACACAAACATCAGAAATCGGCCACAAAGTTTATCAACTAACAACCAAGAGCAACCCCCCCTTGCAATACTCACATCAATCTATTTACCTATATCACCCCTGTGTCCCCTATGACTATGAGCCCACAATAGAAAATGCCTCTAAAAGAAAGTGGACATTTCTTTATGTCTAACACAACACTCAAAAAGAGTCAAAGCTTGGCAGAACTCTATGCACTACAATTAAAATATTCTCGCATGGGAAGAAAAGGCTCATGAGAAATCAAAATGACATGTTTATGCAGAATCATTAGACAGAGAACTCTTTAAAATGGACTTGATCAGGGTCCAGTTTGTGACATTAAATGTCATTGAGCCATATAAAGAAGTTCAACACCTTGTGGATGTGACATGGTGTTTACTTACTGAGCTGTTCTTCTTGATGAGGCAAAATATGTTGCTAAGGATACGTGCACACATTATAAGGTCCTTCTGCTCTTGTAAATGCATGTGGAGATGATGTAAAACTACCGGAAGAAGAATATATCGAGAATCTGGAAAAGTGAAAAATTTTATGAGTAGGAGCTTCTCGTGGAATCATTTGATTTTAATACAGACATAAAATGTGTCTTCAGTCCAAAACAGTATTTCTGATAAGCAGAAGCTTTTACTTGCTTTAACCAACATTTCTGATAAGCAGAAGCTTTGACTTAATAATCATAATATCCTAAAGCAAGTGTCTGAAGAATAAACAATATGCTGAAAGTCAGTATGTCATATCATTGATGGAGAAAAATACCACTGTGTGGAATATACTACACATAACAGAAAATTCTAAGTATTTATTGAACTGTCATGCAAAAAAACTTAACACAGTAATACTTGTATTCAAAATAACGTGCAATTATGTCTAGTGTTCCCTTTGCAAGGAGTCCCTTTGCAAGCCAAGGTCACAACAGACTTAATCTTGAACTTATGCTATTCTACAAATGAGTTCTACTTTACAGACGAGCAGTACTTTCAGATTTCTTTCAGGATTTTCACTTTTCCAGATTCCTTACTCCTACTGAGAATGAGCAATTTAGACTACTGGTATCTACATAAAATGATTTGCCTTTCCTCTATTCATTTTCTAAACACAGCTCTTAGGTGCTATTTTCAGTCCTGAATTCTCTCAAAATTATGCAAGAACTTCATTAACATGCTACTTTTTCTTGCTTCTTTTTCTTATAATTAAAAACGATGTTAAATGGGAAGAGCCCTAATACACTTGCAATAACACAATAAACACCTATTTACAACTTGATAAATGGAATGGGTGTTATCTGTTTTCATTTTTGTTGTTGGTTTTAGATCTTTTCCATAATTGAGAAATGCTGTTCTCATAAAAATATACTTGAATCATTTCCTCTATTAAAATGTTAATGATTATTATATGCTACATTATCTAAATATATTAATCTACTTAGTTCCTTTGTTCTTTACTGTAATTATTTCCTAAAAATTGAGTTATCTAGTTGGAAAATTACTCCTTTAAAATAATTTTGCCAACCAGGTACTGTTCGTGAATTAAGTCTTTTTCTTACACTTTTTCTTACGCTTTTTTCCCCTCAAATATTTCCTCAATTTTTTCAGGAGGAAGAAAAAGATAGATTTATTCTGAGATTTTATTTGTTGAATGTTTCTGTCATTCACTGAAATACAGCGCTAATCTTGTTTTTCTCTATTATTCCCTTGTTTTCATTGTCTAGTTATCTGTATAACACAAAACAAATCAGATGGACAAGTTGAATTGTACACACTGTTCAAGTATATTCTTACTTTTGAAAAAAAGCTTGCCTGCTCTTTTTAAGCAGGTGTTTCATGCTTACTATTTATTCATGTGTTCCACTATATCTTCCTATTGAAGAAAAATATAAACAAAGACTGTATGGCAATAGGCAAAAGGCCATCAATGAATCTAAAACCAGTGCTACTGGAACCCAAAATTGGGAAACAAATAGCCTCTATCCAGTAACTGCTTACTTCTGCAAGTGCCTCAGTAGGTGTTCATCAGGACCGGCCTGAGAGTTCAGAAGCTTCAGTTCAGCCAAATCAACAAAGCATTTTCTTTTTGTCTACCTAAAGAGCAGAAGCTCAGCAAAGTGTTGCCCCAGGTAGTCTGAGATGTCAAGTGTGCACAGCTGCCACTGACCCATCCACTGCAAGATCTATAAGGTCAAAAGGAAAGCAAGCAGGAAGATGGCTAATGTGCAGACCTGTAGTTAGGAAAGTGGCAGCTTCTGATCCCCACCACTAAATCTGCTTATTGATTACTGATAGATGAAAAATCAAAGCTAACGCCTTCAGCTGAAATGAAAAAGCAGGACTCTTCATTCCTATAAAAAAGACCTAACCTCTAGGTTACAGGGGATGGCTCCTTCTCCCTGTTTCTGTTAGGCCTTACATGTACTGGATTCTTGACTATCTGGTAACCCATCTTCAAGAGAAGAGATGAAGGGTTCACCGTGTAAACCAGCCTGTGGCTCTGCGGTTAGGGTACTCTCCTGGCAGGCAGATGACAAGAAGCTGAATCCAGGCTGACAAAGCACTGAACCTGGTCTTCCATTCCCAGGCAAATGCTCAAATCACTACTCAAGTCCACAACTGTCACAGAGCAGTTATACTAGCTCTTTCACACGTTACTGGTGTGAGCCTTATCCTTTGGGCCATAGGTCCTCTGAGGACAGCAGGTCCTCTCTTGCAGCTACAACTCAAATCCCTCAGCCCAGAAGGTGAGGAGAAAACAGGAGTAGTCCTGTGCCAAAGTGTTTCTTCTTGGTTAATTCTAGGCAGCTTCCTGATGAGCACACACAGGATTTGGTACCTTTTCTGAGGTGCCCACTAATCTGTGCACTGCTTACATGTAAGCGCAGCATTAAGAACTCCATTTTGAAGACCAGAGAATCTACGTGTAGCAACACTTGACTTGTAAACAGCCAACTATTTGTGCTGGTTTTGTCTGGGGTAGAGTTCATTTTCTTCATAGTAGCTAGTATGGGGCTATGTTTAAAGAGTGTTGATAATACAGGGATGTTTTACTTATTGCAGAGCAGTGCTTACGCAGAGTCAAGGCCTTTTCTGCTTCTCACCCCACCCCACCGGCAAGTAGGCTGGGGGTGCACAAGGAGTTGGGAGGGGACACAGCCGGGACAGCTGACCCCAACTGACCAAAGGGATATTCCGTACCATACGATGTCATGCTCAGCATATAAAGCTGAGGGAAGAAGAAGGAAGGGGGGGACATTCAGAGGGATGGCATTTTGTCTTCCCAAGTAACCGCTACATGTGACGGAGCCCTGCTTTCCTGGGGACGGCTGAACACCTGCCTGCCGATGGGAAGTAGTGAATGAATTCCTTGGTTTGCTTTGCTTGTGTGTGCAGCTTTTGCTTTACCTATTAAACTGTCTTTATCTCAACCCACGAGTTTTCTCACTTTTATTCTTCTGATTCTCTCCCCCACCCCATTGTGGGGGGAGTGAGCAAGCAGCTGTGTGGTGCTTAGTTGCCAGCTGGGGTTAAACCACAACACTCTTACATACGATATGGCCTGAAGCATATCAGGCAAAACTGAGCATCCTCATTCAACTGTTTCAAGTATCGCATTTTTGCAAAAGCTCCATAAAATGATCAGGAACTTTGTTTTACCAAGACCAAACAGATTAGCAAAAAGCATCTTACAATGACTTGCAACTATAGATTGTAGGGAACAGTGCCAGTTACTGAATTAACCACCACATATAACACAGCTTTAGATACACTCCTCGTAAGAACCATAATCCAAATACCTCTCTGTCGTGACCTGTTTAGGTGGAAAGGTGTAGTGGTATTACAGAAGAGGAGAGCTGGCATATTCACCTCTGAGCCAAACCAAGGACTATGTGAGAAAGTTTGGAGAATGTAGTGTACAATATTTGTCTCAGGTTACTCTTTTTCTTAAAAATTGTCAGCTACAGTGTCAGCCACTGTATATAGAAAAATTAATGAGCGCAAAGAATGGTGCAATAATCAGAACTCTTAGCCATCAGTCACTGTCCTAATTTTTCTTCTGTGCAGGAAGCCAAATTAGCTGACTGTTTAAAATGCTAATACTTGCCCTTTACAAATATTATACAGAAAGAGAGGAAAAAAATCATGACATAGAGCTTTTTGAGTACATGCTTGGCATAATTAGAAAGAAAGACTACTCTGGGCAATCTTTGTGACCTTCCTGTGCAAGCTACATTAACATTTAATATTTAACCCACAGCACAACTTTCTCCCTTGCTTTTCAGTTAGTGGTAAAGCAAGACATACAAAACTTTCTTTATTCTAGTGTATTTTGAAGATTAATTTCAGAAGGATAATATTCATTTCAATGACTATATCTGAACAGATGGTCAAAACTTCAGCCTGCTTGGAAAAAGCATTAGTGTAATTGAACATTTTAAACACACAAACAGCATTCTCCTTGAACAGTGAGAAGCAAGGAAGTCACTCTTGTTTTACTTGGACCTATTCAATTTACGCCTCTTTGTTTGGGAGAATCACTGGACTTGAGGGTGGTAGGAGAAGAAAATGCTTAAGGCAAACAAACAGTTATGACTGCAGTCCCAAACCAAACATATATGCCTGCTCTGTGACTGCATGGACATGTCACTGTTCTCAGAACAGTCAGTTTCAAAACTTTTGTAAGGAACTGTTTTCAGTTTCTTTTGAAAGAAAAAATTTGCCTGTAGTGCAGAAGGAAAACACAGGTATGGCTTAGAAAGCTCCCTTAGCCGAAAAAAGAGCCACAGATGCGAAACATCATTTGCAAAGCTTTTGCAAAATATTTTCTGCTCTCCACTATAGAGGTACTAATAAAGGCTGAATTTTTGTATGCAATATATATACATACATCCCCCCACAGGTGTGTAGAAGCACACATACAAAGAACTCCAAAGAATAGTATATTGCTGTGGAAGACAAATTAAGAAATACTAATTAATCTGAAAAAGATCCTGGAGTACTTGAAAGCAGTACTATGGATCAATGTGAAAAACCTTCATGTTTTGAAAAAATTTACTCTTTTTTTTTCAAATCTGTGTTAATATGTAAAGTTTAATGCATTTTAACTAAATTTAATTCAGGATTTGCATCAACAATTTCAATAATGATAGGCTTTTTACATTTTTATAGCAATCAATTAGCTTGCAGTGATTACTGAGATAACTTACAAGTCTCATTAAAGAGAAGTTTTGAGTCTTTTGAAAAAATGATGGAATCAGAGGGAAATCATAATACCTAGCTTCTAGAACTAAACCTCCTTATCAGTTAATGGTATCTTTTCCTGAACTTGCTAACAACTTTTTTTCATTCCCATAGGAAGTCTAACATGTAACAACATCCTTTCTGTGAGGCAGTTCAAAGATATTAAATTACTCTCACTGATTGTGTCAGATATTCATCTCTGAATTACTATAGAGTTTCCTACATGTACATTCTCCTGTGATATACAGGATGCAATTCTTAGATGAACTTATTCGCAAAGACAGACTGAGGGAAGCAGTCAATCTCAGAAAGAAAACAAATAGATAATTATCACTTTTCTAATCTATTAGAAAACAGATAAGGAGTAAGTTATATATAAAATAAATACATACAACTTTGCATATTAAATAAATTAAATAAAATGAATACATGAAGATGTCTTCAAAACATCAACTCGGGATTTTTCCTAGCTTCATAATTTATATATCATATATAGATATCATATACCATATGACATCTGTAGTGTAAATGGTCAGAGAATTAAACCCCTCCTCTATTTGTTTTGAACAGTTTGCCCCACTAACAGGAAAAGTCCTACCCAGCTACTCTCGCACAGAGGTTCAAATCCTCATATTTTGGGAAGACACAAGGTTTCTTGCATTGTAAGAACATTCTCCATGTGGTAAAGAGCTGCACCACAGACTATAACTGGGCTAAGATACAGGCTTTATCAATATGGGATTTTCTTTTTTTAGGACTTTACCTACTAATGTAATCTCTCTTCTGGTAATTGACGTGTTTGATTGGTGGTGATTCCAAGAAAACTCATCCTCTTTGGAGGAAGAAACCTAGCCATTCCACTTACACACCTCACGTTTTCATAGCTATTGAATTTGCAAGCTCAAAGCTCAAGCTCTTAGTGTTCTTCTAATTCCTGTTTAACCGTGTCAAGAAGGACATGGTTCAAGATGTGTTTCTTTGTTACTGGCCTTAACTCTTCCCAGCAAAACAGATTTAACTCTTCCCCAAAGCAAGCTATAATAATATTTAATGCACAAAAGACAACAAACGAGTGCTAGACTACTGCTGTATCGGAAGTGACAACGGTAGAAAATTTTCTGGGTACAGGCATATGTAGGTCATCAATTTGGCCATTCTACAAGTATCAACAGGGATGCGTCCAAAGAGTTATACCCACAATACCAGGAGACTGGAGGAAAGGCCAAGAGGAAAAAAAAATACTGCTAGTCTTTATCAGCAGAAAAACTGTAATCTGTTTCTTTTTCGACATCCAATGTAGTGTACTACAAAGATGGAAAAATAGAAGTAAGGCCTTAACACCCATTAACTTTTCACAGGAGCTAGGCAGATAACTGCTGTTGACACCTTTTAACATCTCTGTAGTTCTTACCTGTAGGAAGAGCTGAAGTTTAAAATCACTGAAATAGAAAAAGTTCCTAAGCAAGCTATACCAAAGCCTCAATACAGAGCCATTTCAGACATCCCATCCACGCATGATCAGTAAATACAATATATAACCTGCATTCCCTAGAGAGGCCAGTAGAGACTAGATGCATCAAATACTTCTGAAATTGTACTAAATATCTGTGCTTGGGCACCTTAAATCAACCCCTGCATGTCTGATGTTTCTATTTTCAACAATATACCAAATATATCTCCCAATTTTAGCAAAAGCATAGCTTTAGTGTCAGTTGATTTCTGCAGCAGTGGGAGCTGATTTATTAGTTGTTCAGGCCCTTGCAGCACAAAATGCATAAAACTCCCATGCTAAACTACTCTCACTTGTTTCCAAGCAAGCTCCAGATAACAGAAAATGTTATTAAGAAGTGCCCTCCTAATTTTTAGATGTTTGAATAAATAGTTATTTCCTGCGCTCCAACTAGTTCCAATGTGTTAGCTAGCACCGCAGGTTGCAGCATTCATCATCTTCATTTGGGAGATAGAAATCAATTATTTTCACAGCAGCAAGCCTCAACTTCACATTAGGATGTACAGTTTACTCTGCACATTAACATAGTCTAGTGCAATATTTATTTTCCAAAAGGATTTTAAAAGGACTTCTTTCTAGGGATTGACTGAGGGAAAGTCTACTTGTATTTTTGTATTTTAAAGAGACAAAACATTAAGGGCAAAGAGACCAAGATGCTGATCTCCACATGACCCTTCAACTTAATGATGACTGAAATTATACTGTACAAGTGTTTGCCTGAGCTCCCCATCATGGACATTGGGAGCTTATATTACTGCCTGATGACTTTCACATCAGTTTCCCTGTGGTCTAAGGAATTTATATTCTATTTGTGTATAACCCACATGTAAAATTTAACACGTAATTTCCATTGCTTTTATAGCCAAACCAACTCTTACGACTTCTTAATAATGAAACTGGATTTGAATAAAAACCTAACATTTTTACAAAAGGAAACAAACAAAAAAAATTGTCATATGGCTGAAAGTAGAAATACAGTTCCAAGAAAGTCCTCAAGAGTCCCTTACATGGCATTAAATAACTCTCTTTAATTACATTAATTCATTTGGATCTTCTAGTTAGGCTGACCTACCTGAGATAATGGGAGGAAAATGGAAATGATGCTACTCGGTCCCTACATAGTTTGGAAAATTAAAAACGTAAGTTAGAGCGTCCTTAAGATTGCTCCATGAATATGTCATCATCTACCCAGAGTATCAAAGGTCTGATCAATCAGCTGTAGATGGGAAGGGACTGCCATGGAGGCTCACAAGGGAAAGGGTAAGCTATTTTTTCAACCAGAACGAAGCAAAGTAGCCAAGATCCAATACTTCTTACCCATTTCTCTGAGTTCATACTTATAAAGTACAATCACTGAAAGCATTTTGGAAAAAAAAACTTCTAAGATCTCTTCCTTTATTTTGCAACATCTCAAAATATTTATGCATATCCTGGTGGTTTTTGCAGAGCCTTCATCGTTGTAATGTGTTTATCTTGAATGCCTTAGATGGTAAAAATTACTGTTTCTACTGAACTCCATCAGCCAATATTCAAACAGCTCTCAAGAGGGCTTTTGGTGAGTAAATTAACACTTATTAGAATTCTTTAAATCTCTTCTATTTTAATACTTTTGTTTCAAAATGAGTTAATCTCAAATTTACTTCTATGGGTTTCATTTAGAACAGAAAAAAAGAATGTCAGACTTACCACCACACAGCAGTTTTTTCTTCTGCATAGCAAATAGCTATGCTGTTATATACTTTATGCACCAACTATCACTTGCATTTGTGTAGCCTTTTTATGCTACACTAAGAAATGGATGATCGAAAGTGCTGAACTAGCAAAAGTTACACAAACAAGACTTAATGAATAAGTGACAATCTGTTTGCTGAAGTGCCCCCAAAGGAGAAAAAAAGAAAAAAAAAATCAATTTAGTAAAGCTTTTTCATTTATAATTACTTAAAAAGTATAAGGCAAGCTTCCTTCACAGACATACTGCCAGCAGTAGATCAAAACAAAACTATATTTTAAGAGTCTTTGCCTCTTAAAAACAAACCACTAAACTTAACCAACTGTATTCTTGTAAATAAGCAGCTTGTACAGAGCAGTGCTTCAAGAATTGTTCCCCAGGAAGCACTACTCAGAGCAACACTATTCCCTTCAGCACCTGCTGGCCTGCAAACCAAGCACACAATTGGAGTTCCTTATCTGCAGGCAGGGTAACCTTACCTGGGTTCGTGTACAGGTGACTCTCTACAGTTTTTCCAATACTCTGCAGTTTAACAGCTTGAAGGGACTCATCCCCATGCATGACTGTTGGCAAGCTGCCCAGAGCATCATGAACCAAATTTGCCACTTCTCTTACATCAAAGAGCTTCAAAAGTTCAGAGTACACCGATGGGAATGAGCTGAGAAACACAGCCTAGAGGAAAAGGGCAAAAATGGACAGTCAGATATTGCAGTATAGCTTTGACATTTATGGAATTTAAATAACTATATAAATTTAAGTAACCGTAGAAAAATGCCTGGTTTTACATTTCAAGGGTAGTTAGTAGCTTTAAAAATGATCATATTTTCAGAAGAAATATTCTCACATTCATTAATGGGTTTCTCACATTCATTAACGGGCTTACACTTGTGACTATTTTCCTTTAAGCATTATCTAATGACTGTTCATTTATCCCAGGACAAAGTGAAAGTAAGAAGTTCAACTTAGAACAAAAATATTTATACTTTACAGATTCTTCACAATCTATGCGTGAGAGGAAATTTTTAAATGGATAACAGAAGCCAGCTGATATCAGAACAAAAATATTTAATGGAGTTGTTTTGGTTTGCTTTGTTTTAAGATAAGTAATATAACGGCCTCCATATCTTCCATTTTTCAAATAATGAACATTTTTATTTTGGAGTGGGACAGCACTGGCAGTCTTGGTTCACTTCAACAATCCTAAAATAGGGGTAGAAATTCATTGGTAAGTATAATGAATATGGAAACAAAACACTGGAAAAGAAAGGAGGGCAATGCCAGAGAAAGAAAGCTAGAAATGACATTTCCTTCTTCCTCTCCAAATCATGCTGATTGAGAAAAGCTACTCATACCTCAGACCTTCTTCACACTGGTGTCAGAACAGATGACATACAAGGTTAAAGATACTGAAGAAGAATTCCAAATGTGGTTGTTTATATCATTTTGCTATTACCTTTTCACCCCACCTGCTTACATGATATGAGATGGAAGAACCACCTCTCTATGCTGTTCTCTCTGATTTACCATTTTCTTGGAAGAACAATTTTCTACAGAACTTAAGAAATTAATAATTCTTAACAGGTCTTAAACACCTGTGGTTACAGAAACAGGGAA